CTTCTTTTCTCCTTCCTCAGTTTGGAAGAGCAGAACATGTGCTGAGGCCAGGCACCCTGCAGCCAGCAGAGAAGCAGCAGGTGGTGTCCACACCCGCAGGGCCCTGGCTGTGAGGCTGCATTGACACAGCTGTGGAGTGTGTATGACCATGTCTACCCTCAGAGGCCAAGTGTGAGCTTCTGGGCTGGTTTCATCTTTGTAGAAATGCATGAGATGGGCCCATCTCTGGAGTTGGGTGTGCATGACCCTGGCTAATTAACCTGGCTGTCCCTTCATACCATATGCCACCAAGTAAGACAGATACATTCATTTATTTTCACAGATGTGTTTTAGGACAGTTTAACTGCATGCTATGGCTTTTCATCAGGACAGGATAGGTACAACATTCAAAATACATTTTATTATACGGTAGCCTTCCTCTTGCCTCTGAACTCGTGTACGGTGCTGAAATTGATAATTGGTTCTGCATCGTAGCAGGGTGTGAGCTCCGCACAGGAGCCAGCAGTCCTCTTGATGAGCTGAGCGCCGTTCCTTGCGGCCACTGAGGAGGGAGGACTGCCCTAGAGCTGGGGAAGGCCTGATTTTCACAAGTGTTCGTGTCTTTGCGCTCTTTCTGTGCTCTAGCCCTTTGTTCCTCCCCAGAGATTTTGAATCTTTCTTTAGGTCAAATTCATTTCCTTTGAGAATTGTTCCAGGAAATACCTTCCCATGTATTTGTGGAGGTGCTTATCTTTATTTTTAAAACGCTCATTGCTCAATGTTAAAAACAAAAACCGCCCTTGACTCCAGTGTGCAGAGCTGTTCCTGTTCAAAGCTGTCTCTTGCACTAGATGCTGCTGAATTAGGAATTCTCGCAGTAACGAACCTTGCTTATCGTGGCTCCCCACAAAGGGTCGGGGCGGGAGCTTACCGCGAGGCCGCGCGGCTCTGCGTGGCGCATATTAACTGTTTATTTAGTGCACGTGCGTGTCTGCGTCCCTGGTCTCTGATCAACCTGAAAAATTTGCATGCTGCGCGGCGGCCATCTTCTTTTATACTTTATTAAATATCTGTCAATTATAAATATCAAGGTTTTACATTAATGTCAAGATAGTACATCAAAAATTCATGGAATATGTGACTTTTTCCAAGGGTATTTAATACTTAATGCATTTGTGTCATTTTTCTTTCCAGAGATATTGACAGGTTTTATTAAGTGTTTGTTAGGGAGATTTCATTTTTATCAAGGGACTATAAAGAGAAGCTGCATGCTAAATCAATTTTTTAAAGCCAGAATATCGTTCGTTTTTTTCATCTTCAAACACTTATAATCTATAGGTTTTATTTAAATTTCTTCTTGGTTTATTTTTGTTTTATGTGAATGATAGTTCAAGACAGAACTTTAATAAGGATCAAATCTGCTGACTGTAGTGGTTTTTAATTTCCTTAAGCATCGCTACCAGACCTATGCAATATGGTAAATTCTTCAAAATGTCATACTTACATATTTAGCAATATTGCTGCTTTTTATTGAAGTCAAACAAACAGTTTCAGATATTAATCTTTCCCAAACAGTGATTATTTTGTACTAGGCACAGTATTACTGTGTGTCACGAGGGGGGAGCGGGAAGTGACTGGACAGGTACCCGGCTCCACAGAGGGTGCCAGCAGGCACCTTGCACAGCGCGCCCCTCGGTGCTCCGGCTTCCAGGCTGGGCAGGAGCTGGGGCTCGGCTCCCAAGGTTGAATACTGATTGTGCTCAAGAAGGTCAGCGCATCCAACACAGAAAATTGGGAAGACAACCAGCTCCTTCAGAAGCCACACTCACAGGGGCTCGGCTGGGACAGTGGTTGGCAGCCCCTTCCTGCCTGGTTGGTCTTGGTGTGTAGGGTCTGGGTCACCGTCATCCTGTGTCCAACAGCCACACAACACTGTTTGGGGGCACCCTTCCTTGTCCTGGGTGTATCTGTGTCTTGGAAACTGCAGTCACAGCTAAACCCAGTTGGGCACAGAGAATTAAGTCTTCTGTGTTCATTCTGCACTTTGTTTCAGAGCAGAGGTTAGACATGCTTCCTAGGGAGAGGGTGGGCGCAGCCCAACCAGGCGGCTCTGGGGCAGGCGGTGCCTTGCCCCGGGCTCCTGCACCTTCACCTAGGAGAATTTGAGGGGTGCTCAGGTGGACTGCGCATGGAGCTGCTTTGTGAAAGAAGGTTTTTAGTCTTTGGATACAGGGGAAGGACTAAGATTGATCACTAAATGAAAATCGTTTATAGTAGACATTTGTCTTGGCCTGTTCATTTTTCCAGAATAAGTGGAAATGTACAGTATTAAATACTTGTATGGACAGATTGTTTTCAATATTTGAATGCTTTTGGATGCTTATAAAGTTATTGTATTATAATTTTAGGTATAAGATACTTTTTTCTTAAAAACCAAGTCTGTCTTGGGCTCATGTGAGTTGCCAGGAGCCTTGTCCTAGCTCTGCACCCACAGCCACTCCTCCACAATGCCAGTAGGTGGCGCTGCTGCCCCGGAGGCGCCAGCCCTGCAACCTGGGACGCGCCTGCCTTCCCCTGTCACACTTGGCTTCGATGTAACAGTTAAGTGCATGTGTCACCGCAGAATAGCTTTTATACCAGAACTATGCACAGTAGGCGCACCCTGGCCTTTTACGACAAGAACAACTATTTCTAACACTGAAAATATTATATAACTTTTGTACCTCCAAAGTAATCATCAAGCTCAATCAGAAAAATGTTTACACATTTTTTTGTTTTGTCTTAATGCTTTAAGACCATGAGCATGAATTTATAGATAAGATATTACATATAAATAGTAAGAAGGGGACATTTTGGAGAGTTGATCTTTCATCCTTTTTATTCCTGAAATAACCTATATTTGAGTAGTTTTGTGGGTCCTAAGACTTTGTTTAAAAATCCATGTTGGAAGATTCTTCCTCACCTTCTCACTTTTGTTTGAGAAGGGCCCTCACCAAGTTGCCCAAGCTGGCCTTGAACTTGTGATCCTCCTGCCTCAGCCTCCCCAGTAGCAGGGATTACAGATGTGCAGCATTGTGCCTACTTCCCCAAGCTGTTTTGCGATTCAGCATTCTGGTTTTGAAAATTGTCATCTTTTCTCCTATTTAATAAGCCAAGCTTTGTGAGAGAAGATGTGGAATATTTAGTATTTGTGGGATTTAGCATTGAATTTTACCAACTTTGGAAATATCAGAGTAAATTACAAAGTTCAAGTAAATTAAAATACTTAAAAATAACAGAACAGTAGCATTTCCCTCATCCTAGAGTTTGAAGAATTGGGATGTGCAAAAGTTTCAATAAATCAGAGAATGTGAAATTGAAATTTTAGCACACGAATCCCTGTTCTTTACAGCTTGAAGTGCTTCTGGGGGGCGTTTGCGATGCCCTTAGTGCGGGAGGAGGAGCAGCTCATCTCTGCTGCCCTGTGCTTTTCCGAGCACTTTTACTAATACGTGAGAGTGCTGCACGTTGGACACGCTCGGTGTGCGGGCCAGGCGCCCACGGCAGGCAGTCTGGACCCCTTGTGCCCTTCCCACGCCTCCCTGGGAAGCCCGACCGTGCCATGCTCGGGTTAATGAGTAAGCAGAAGCCACGGCACTGGCCGATGAGCAAGCTCACCCTTCCCTGGTGACAGAGGAGGCGTGAAGCACAGTGCTCTGCGGCCCCTCGGCCCTCGTGGGCTGTAGCACGGATACCCCGGGAACGCGGCTGCCTGGCCTGCAGAGCTGGACAGGAGTCGCCTGCACGCCGCCCTCGAGTGACTCACCCACGCCCCCTGGGCCGCGTTGTTGGCAGAGCGTGCACCCAGAGCCACTGTGGTGTCTCCTTTTGGCCGGGCTTGTCTTCCAAAGGGTTAACAGTGGGCGCGGAAGAGACAAGAAGCAGAAACCTGGACACGGCGCCCAGCCGGCAGCCTTTTGTGAGATACAGTTGGCCTGAAACTGCATGCGGAGCGCGAGGTTTTGTCTTCTAATTGATTTAGGGCTTGAGCCACTTTTGCCTCGTCCCCTGCTGCCCCTCACACGGTGCCAGCAAGTGCATTATAGTGAGTGATGACAAATTGTGCTGCGCCTGGGACACCAGCGCGGCTGGTGGAGAGTGGGCCGTGCATGGCTCCTGTGTTACTGTGGCCGGTTGCGTCTGCGGCTCAGAACTAACCATTTGTTATTTGATGGCTTGCTGCAATCTGTCTATCAGCGGTAATTGAAACTGGAGATTAAAATTACACTGTTACAGCTTTTAATTCCTTAATTGAGGCGAAGTTTTTAAGTGCCTGAAGGGGGGCAGCATTGTGATGGGAGAATACAAAATGTATAAAATTTTCCCCTAAGTGTGAAGTTAGAGATATTTTTACCAAATGTTCTTTTGTTCAGAAAAAAAAAATAGTACAATTAAAAATATGCTGGTTTCTGTTTTGTTTTCTCCTTGTAAAATTTCTTCAGTCTCATAAAGGAGTTGGGGTTTTGGTGTGCGGGCCACATTTATGGCGTATGTGATTCATCTGCACTCATGCCGACTCCTCTCAAATGACCTGAGTCAGAGCGCCGGAACAAACTCGGTTTATTAGCGTGCCTGGGCCGGCTCCTCTCTGATGCTGGAGCCGAGATGCAGGGAGGGGTGGAGCCCACGCCTGGAGGGCGCAGGCTCCCTGTGCCGAGGAGCTGCCTGCCCGGCGTGGGCGTGCCTGCTCCAGGACGCCAGCCCCTTCCGGCGGCGCGGCGTTCTCTGCGGTGCCTCTGGGTTCTGGGATTGACACGGGAGGGAGCAGATTTATGGCGGCTGCTGGGCACAACAAATTAAGTTGACAGTGATGTATGGGAGCATAATGGCCCGATGATCCCTCAGTAGCACGGCTGGACGCCTCTGGCTTCATTTGGTTCTTGTTAGATCAGTTAGGCAGCTAAATAATGAAATTCTGCTGACTGATTTCTGTTTTCCCTTTTCTCTTTTCACCTCTGCTTTCCCAAACTTCTCATTCCCAGACCCATCCACATGCCAACAAACTGCCCTTGAAGGATTCGTTCACTTACGAGGACTACAGGTTGGTGTGAGGGCCGGGTGTGTGTCGGGGTGATTTCCAGGGCAAATGTGGGGTCCTGCCAATGAGGGGAACACTTCAGTCAGGGTCCTGCTGCGACTGTGCAGCGTCAGAGCAGAGAAGGTCCCAGGAGTCACAGCGAGCAGCAAGGACAGCCGAAGGCATTTTAATGCCCGTCTAGGAGTTGCCGTTAGCCCCAGCGCGGAGACTGGCGAGGCAGCACTGGGCTGGGGATTACATTAGCGCTGATGGGAAGTGCCCCTTAGTAGATGATGTTCCTGTAAAGTGGGGACCGCACTGCGCCATGTCCTAAAAATGCTGTCTTCCACATTTTGGAGATTCTTCCAGGGCTCCTGATCAGGAAGAAGTTTTATCATTTGCTTCTAACTGAGGCTTAGAGTAGGTGCAGAGTCTGCATTTGGGTAAAAAACAGGGTGATGGGGTGGGGTTTGGCAGTAGTGGGGACCCGCAGAAAGGTCCTGGTCTTAGATCACAGCACTGCTGCCCTT